TTCTTGAAGCATGCTGCATGTGCTCTCAATTATATTCTTACTAATTCTTCCAAATGACTTTTAGTAAGGCTTATTAATTTTATACGTTTAAGGCAAATATGATTAAAAAACAAAAGACATTTCATGTCAGTTAATATTAATGAGCAACTTTTCAAACAAAGAGGATTCCTTGTCTGAGAAGGATTATTCAAAATGTGGAAAAGTTGATTATTAAAATTAATCAACGCAAAATGTCTGTCATCTTAAATAATATTTACCTTAAAGAGCACTTGCTGCCTAAGTGGCTGGCTGGCCACTCGTATCTGAGGATGCCCGCCTACTAAGGCAGCTAGCTAATCCCTGTTGCAGATCCCTGCTCCAGCACATTTGTGCTTGTTCGACACCCACAGAACCCACCTGTGGTTTATACTGCAACTATGCTGAGTGGATCATAGTTACTGAGAGAGTGAGCGCATTATCTAGCGTGATCTACAGTCTGAACAAGGCCAGCACGCTCAAAACCTTGGTCATAATGACTTGTGACATTGTGTTAGCACAACCACCGACAGGTCCCAAAGGGATCCATCTACACAGTTTCACACACAAGGCTTGGGTCAATCCGTGCTATGGTTTTCAGAAGTCCCCTTCCTGACAAATCAACTATGGTGAGATTCGAACATGGGTCTCATGGTCAGAAAGCAAATGTTCTAACCACTCAGCCACAGGCTGACTAAATACACAGTATATATATATATATATATATATAGAGAGAGAGAGAGAGAGAGAGAGAGAGAGAGGAAAAATTTGTCTTTCATAGTTTTATCAAATTGTGATAATACTGTCTACTGTAGGTTATTGTGTATCTCAGAAAACTGACTACATTGGCGACCCTTAGACAAAAGATTGAAAATGCCTGTGCGGCAATCCCACTGGACACTTTGGCCAACACTGCCCAGTCATTAGTTCATTGTACTAATAAATGTCCAGAAGCTAAAATCCACCAGTTTGAGCATCTCTTGTGATTATTGTAGAGTGTAAAGGTAACTTGTATCAATCTTGTGATATCTGAAGAAATTTAGTATTACAATATCTATACAAGTTTTTCCTTTCCTGAAGTGTGTATACATTTTTTCGTAGACTCTGCATATATATATATATATATATATTTGTGTGTGTGTGTGTGTGTGAATATATAATATACAAATCAATACATGGGAAAAAAGATATATATATATATATATATATCAGAACAATGTTAGGAAAATCAATGACAAAGTAGAAAAATATTTATGTGACACATTTTGTCTTTGAAAATTTCATCAGACAAAAGTGATGTATACACTGATGTGATTACATATGCACATGAAGGAGAGGGACATTGAAATTTTAAACTTTTAAATTTAAGATTTTTTTTGTGCTTGTGTATATAATCTAGCCAATTTAATTTAGTTTCTTTTTCTTTTTATCACTTTTGGTATTAAGTTTCCCACATTGTCATAAAATAGTCTAACAAAGCACTGTTTAAACCTATAAATTCATGAAATGACAGGATGATGATTTGAAGGGACTACAAATTGGATAATAATTATTATAATTTTCAAGAGAGTAGGTTGACAAGTTGAGAAGAAAATTAAAAATGAAATGCATTAAAATTTATGCTTTAAAATAATAAAATGAAATTAAGAACAGTTCCAAGGAGAATTGAAACCAAATTTAACTCGACATGTATTGTGTTGTTCTATGACGCATGATCAGTAGTAAACTTCTAATTTACTATACACTTTAAATCTCTTCTACTTAACATATGCAAATAGGTAGAATCCTATTTACCAATGCTCTACACCTCCCTGAACTGAAGAGGTTTAATGCCTCTGGCTGTTCTTGAACTTCTACAACCTCTTTCTTCCTTTCTCCCTTTGAGGTTTATGTCCTATTCTTTTTAATCGAGATCTTGGTCTCATTTCATCTTCTTCTATGTCTGAATCGCCTCCCACTATAATTCATAGGCTTTTCTTCTATTGTGTTATCCTGAGCTGAAGAACTTATCCTTTCTTCTCTGTCAAGATCTTCTTCCACCATGTCTTCCTCTTAAATTCTGGGTCTTAATTGGCCAGAATGGGCTATTAGGCTTTTTTCCTTTCTTTGATATAATGGTCATGTTATGTCCCCTTTGTATGCTAAAATTAGCTCTCTCATGACTTGCTACTTTGTCTTTCTTATACTACATCCTTTCATTTGTTGAATAAGACATTGTTAATGAAGATCTTATTTGTCTACCTATTAATGCAGATGGGCTTTGCAATCTGTCTGCATGTGGAATCATCCTATCACTAAGCAGTAACCTTGGTAAGTCTATAGTATCTCTATATGGGGAAAATGCTTTTACTCCTATTTTTACTGTCTGCACTGTTCTTTCTACAATCCTATTAGATTGTTAATGATACAGTGGTGTTTTATAAGGCAAGTAGCCAATCTGCCTCAATCAATTACATCACAAAAATTTCATCATCACAAAATTCTGCGCATTGTCTAATACCAATGATTTAAGGAGCCCATTTCTATAAAATAACACTCTTGGTATTTGTTTTATTGTAGTCATTTTTCTGTCTAACTTTGACAACTTCAGGCCATCCTGAAAAGGAGTCTACTAAAATTAGAAATAGTCCCATGCTATTAATGTGTGTATGGTCCATATGAACACAAAATTATGGTTCCGTTTCTTTAGGCCATGAGTGTATTTCTGTACATTTTGGACATTTGTGTACATATCTTTCTATATTACGATAATATCCAGGCCACCATCCCTCCAATTTTAGTCTTCTCTGTGTAGCCATTATCCAACAATGCACATCATCATGTACACTTTTTAAAATATATCTTCTTACTGTTTTCATTGGTACTATCACATCTACATTGCATAATAACACCATTTTCCATCATTAATTTATGCCTTATTTCTTTATAAGGTCTTTCAATTTTGGAACAATTACTCCACCTGTTTCTTCTTCTATGTATCTGATATAAGAAGAATTTTGTGGTAAGTTTATCTTGATAAAGTCCCTCAGAGGATGAACTGCATCAGCTTGGATAAGTTTTCCTTTTCTTTATGCATATTGTCCTTTTTACAGATATACCCTATCTGAAATGTTTACATATATATATATATATATATATATATATATATATAAAATATAATATATATATATAAAATATAATATATATTATATTATATATTTTGCAAAATACAATCTTTGTTATTAGTTTTGTAAAATACAGCAAGGGTGTGTTGAGATTAGGGAAAACATCTAATCAATTGCTCTCTATATGGCGTAACAAGCAGAGAAAGAAAAGAGATGGTAGGAAAGAAAATAACACTGCATAGTGACCAGCCCACAACTTGAGAAGCAAAATGTCAAAGGGACCGACTTCACAAGTTACCGAGTTTCTCCAACTATCCGCTGCTGGTTTTCCTGTTGCTTTTATTGACAGGAGATAGTTGACAGAAACTCAGATCTAGACAAGTTGCAGAGAGGCATGTATCTGGACATGCCAAGCTGTTCTGCTGCTAATGGGGAAAACCCAGATGTAACTGGTGTTGACAGATATCTCCACACGCGATTTGGGGCCTCATCTGTACTGACACATGTCCCCCCCCCATCTAATCACAGATATGACAGCTTGGAGTGGGTCATTCCATCAATACGGCAGTGAATGCTGGACAATCTCCTCACAGATGAAGAAGAGACTTGAAATAACAGAAACAAAATAAATGATTACTGAACTGTTGCATAATATCAGTCCTCCTATATGGCAGTAAATGCTTTACAATCTCCTCACAAATGGAGAAGATACTTGAAACAACAGAAATGTGGTTCTACAGAAGGATGCTGAGAATACTATGGATTGAACATGTGAGCAACAACAAAGTTTTAGGGAAAATAGAAACATAACAGACACTCCTACTTAACATCAGAAAGAGACAGTTGAAATTTCTAGGACTCATAATGAAAAAAGAAAGCTTGGAAAATTTGACATTCACAGGATGGCTTGAAAACAAGAAGGACAGAGGGAAACAATGTATAGCCTACATAGCAAGCTTGAGGAACAGGGTTTAGGAGAGATAACAAAAAGAGAAAAAATTACTAAGAGCTACAAAGGACAGGAAATTGAGGAGAGCCATGATCGCTAACGTCCTGAAGGGACACGGCATACAGAAGATTGTTTTCGGCAGGGTCTTCTTGAGTTTGTATGCAGAAGATTTTTCACTACATATCCACTAAGGAACTTTTGTCAAATTATGCTTCTGCTTACAAGTTAATTATTAATCAATTATTTATTTTTAAAAAAACAGAGAGGAATTAATTAACTTTTTTTTTTAAATCCGAATCCTGTCTTGTCTTATTAATTTTAAAACAGTTTTAAAACTACTAAACTTTTGATACGATGAAGAACATATTCTTAATTAATAAATGGAACTGTTTAATCATTTTCAACTTAACATTACTTTTTAATTAGCGATCATGTGTTTAACTTTTCAAAACACAAACTCAAACATTTCATTTTTCAATTTCATAGCAGAAATCATGCAAAAGATTGAATCTAAAATTTATTTTTAATGACACCTTAATTACAAATATGGCGACAATGTTTTAAACACACTAGCTAATCTTTCTTTTCTTCTGTTATAATAATTTCATGATGGCGTTTATTTAAGCCATTAACTTGCTTTAATACGAAAATAAAACAGTAGTACACGTAAGTCATTTTTTTCGAATTTACGTTTCTTTCGAGAGCAAACCATACGAACTATTTGATACCGTATCACCCCTCGTCCCATTAAACGAAGTGGAGGTTTAACACCACGTGGGCCAAATTTGGCGCCTTTTCTTGTTGATTTCTGCTTCAGGAGGAGTGACTTAGCTACAAGGGCCGCCCTGCCTTTCACTACTATTAAAAGGTGCTGGTTGCATCGTGTTCAGCAGTATTAAAGAAAAAGGCAACTGCAACAGTAAGCCATCAACATGTCTTCTGAACTTAGAAAACTCCATAGCAAAGATGAACCACGCGGAGGTAAGTGTATTGTAGGATATTTATTTTTACTATCCGCAAAAGTAAAACATTTAAGAAGCTTATCTAGCAGACGTCTTTTCCTTTTGTTATTAAATTAATTTCTGTTTTCAAATTCGTAAATCTCTTTATTTTAGTTTTCATATTTTTTTTTTTTTTTTTCGAAAACTTTCTGCAATTAGTCCAGCTTTTTCCTAATCATTTTGGCATGATGAAAACAGATTAATATTAAATTATTAATAGCATTTTTTTTAAAAAATCGTCATAATAAAAAGAAAAACTAAGATAAACAAATCCTCAATTTAAAAAATAAAAATAAAACTTTCAGTACACATTACAACTACTTTTTAAAACTTAGTTTTGTGAATATTCGCTGAAAGAAGACTGATATAACAAAAAGCAAGTTTAAAAAATAAATTCTTAATTTTATTTTGTACTTTCAATTTTCTCTCCCCACCCCACTCTTTTTTAATTAGTAAAGAAAGAAGGTTGTTACATAACTTAAAAATATAACGTCTTTAGTCTTTACGTTAGAAAAATAAGTGGCTATAATAAACAGATATGGTTTAAAAAAACTTAAATTTCAAATTTAAAATGTTTACATTTTTTTTTTTTTTACAAATTTTAAAACCAATATCTGTTTTCTACTGATATATTTTTTTACATGGCATTTCCCCCTTTATGATGCCTTTTTTTTTTTTTTTTTTTTTTTTAAACTTCAGACTTAAACAGTATTAAATTAAGCTTCAGTCTTTGAAGTCGTTAAATATTTCTCCGTTTTAAAGTCGTGATACACGAAGAAAATCCCAACAAAAACTGATACTTCTCCCTCGAAGTGAAAGTTTAACTTTTTAAAAATTAGACTTTTTTTTTTTTTTTTTTTTTTTAAAACAAAAAAGGCATTCGTGAACAATAAACACCAGAATTTAGTCGATTTTAGCATTCCAAAAGGATTCTTTTTTTTAATATGCTAATGACTGTCTCCTCTTACATAAGAAGATTTAATCTTTTTGAACGAGACTCATATTATGAACTTTTTTTTTTACTTTTACCATCGACGGAAGGTTCATGATTTTCCTTAAATTTTATATCTTAAAACTGGGACAAATCTGTTTGGTATGCAAAAAAAGAAAAAAAACTCTAAAACGAACTATAATCGTTGTCTGACATTTTTCCTGTCCGATAAAAAGCCATTATTACCCATGTTGTATGTTATGCTCCATGTGACACTGTAACTTTTTAGTTTTCACATGCTAACGATTACATAAATAGCAGAAAGCAAAGATCTAGATATGAAGATGCTTGCTTTTTAATCGGATTCCTAATCTATTTCACGAATGTAATTGTACATTAACTTCTCGAAACTAAACTGATCAAACCCGACAATTGTTGCTCTTTTTTTTTTTTATTATGTGGCTGAACAATGTCGATTTCTGATTCGGACATTAACTGCTACTAACCCTGTTTCTAAGTAAATTGAATTTTTTTCCCCCTCAACACTAATTTCGTCTGACAGGAAACAAATTTGCTTTCTTTCTCCCGCATCCTACTTTAGGAGAAAAAAAAAATTGTTTAAAAGCACAATTTTATTTGACATTTTATACTTGCAAGTCAACCTTTCAGAAAAATCTTTTCAAACAGCCACAATTAATGGTGCACTCTGCTGCCTACGGATGGACATAATGGCATAAAATAGTTAAATCGAACAAGCTTTTTGACATTTGCTGGTCTTAACAATTAACCAACCATAACAAATTCCTCATACTCACTAAAATTTTAAAGTTAAACTAAAGTGTTTATTTCTTAACCATTAATGGTTTGAAGATAAATCTTATTAAGTATAAATGGAAATTTACTTTCGGCGTTAAGAGGGATGTGCTAATAATAACATCAATGGCTTGATTATTTTCGTTCCTCATATAAGTGTAGCTAATTTCATTCAATTCGACCTGGAACGACCATGCATTCAAAGTAGTAGGCATTTTGTTTAAAAAAAAACTACAAACATTTGTCGATATCGCTTTTACCACGTTACGCATACTACATGAAGGCATACAGCTTTGCTGATGAACCATATCCAAGAATCGATATAGCTGAGAACATGTTTTAATTTCCCCTGTAATATTTTACACTTTAATTGTAAACCTGTTAAATAAACTTTATATACACACACACACACACACACACAGAGAGTTTCTTTGGGGCTGCGGTGTTTCTAAATAATCAACTCTTGATAGATTTTTTAGCAAAATGTCCTCTCGTATTTTAGCAACTTAAACCCGAAATGAAAATTTTTCGTGGTGGAAGGGAATAAAAGGGATTGCTTACATTAACCCATCGACAATCTACATTTGGTTTAAAATTAAAGATCAAATTCCTGCCTTATGCGAACAAAGTACCTAGAATTTCTTTTTCTCGTTAACGCTTAAAAAGATTCCTCCATTTAGGGGTCAGATCACACTGCAACTGGGGGGAGGTGGGGAATGAGTAAAACCCTTTATTTAAAGACTTGAATATTTTTGGAGGGGGTGATGTTTGGGAGGAAAATAACGACGTGAAAAATGTTCGATTGTGCAACAGTATCACCCACAAGTCGGTCTGCCATTTTATCGCATGCTTACGCATTAGTTCAAGGGATCGTAAAAAAAACAAAATGAAAATTAGATTGCAAACCTTTATTCTCTATTTATCGTCTGCATAAAAAATTAAATGACTTAGAACTTGTCCTTGTCGAAAATAATTAGCCATTTGCTGCAAAAGTATTTTTTTCTCTTTCTTAAGGATCTCTAGCTACATTCTAGAATCGGGGACATAAGATTCACACGCTAACTTTGGAAGAACTAACACATGAAGACTTTTAAAACTTTTTGAAAGAAAACTAGTTAATTGTAGTGAAAAGAACTTTTGTTGCTGACAGTAAATGCAATATGACCTTGGTATCCAAAAGTTGTTCTGATGGATGTTTGGAGATGTACTAAAATACCGGCTGTAGGAAGAACAAAATTTCCAGTTCATATTCTATCTATAAGAATAGCTGGTTTCATGTTTTAACTCTCAATTTCTGCCCATGCGAATTATGGCCTCGATTCTAGACTTATGCTGTCACTTTTTGCTTATAGATTTTTTTTTTTTTTTTTTTTTTGTCTTTCACCTATGAATACAATGGGAGGTGTCAACAAGAGAAGTTTGGGGATTCCATAAAAAAACACTTCTTGGTGTACATTGACTTCTCTTTATGTAATTAACTTTCTTTTTAGTTCTAAAGATGTATCGGCATACACTTCAAATGTTGGCCTCGTTTGCTGCATCATTTATTTATTTATTTTTTTCTACAAATTCCCATCTCTTACCACCCCATCCTAGCTCTGGGTTAAATAACTGGGTAGACTGAGCTATTTAGCTTTGAATGGCAAATGACAGCCAGTCTAGGAGAAGTTTACTCTGGATACAAAATCGGAGGCAACTGGGGAAATTACTTTTCTTTCTTTCCCAAGAAATCATGGCAATTCACACAGATAATAAAAAGGGAAAAGTGAAAAATCATCCATGATCATCTATGTCCTGGAAGGGTATGGCATTTAAGGTTAATACATTCCCTCATTTACATTTTTTTAACACAACAGCACTCGGGTTGCCACATTCTCCGACCGTTTAGAAAAAGTAATTGGTAATGTACGTAAGTTTTTCCTGATTAAACTTGATCTCTTATCCAATATCTTTGAACTAAATTCCTTAGTTAAAACCAATTCTCAAACCCTCCACCTCAGACCCACCATGCCATATAGATAACCCCCCCCCTTTTTTTTTTTTTTCCTTCCCTTAGTTCTGCACAAAGAGCTTCATCTCATAAGCAGCTATTTTGTGGGGGTTTACTCCAAACAGAAGGCTTTCCCAACCACGCAATCTTCACATTTAGGGTTGATAATTCTTTTTCACATCTCCTCAAACTGTGCCTCTTATTCTTACCACTTTTACAGCAACCTCCTTAACTCTACCTTGAATGAATCTTGGGCCCTTTTGTATAGGGTAAACATAACTCTCTCTCTCTATATATATATATATATATATATATATATATATATATATATATATATATAATTAAAAACAAAAAAAAAAAACTAAACAAAACAAACTCTTAACATGGATGTCACCTCCTGTTTAACCATGAAGGCTACATTCCATTCACGTACCACGTCATCAGTACATATTCACTATTTGCTTTCATGGTTGAACGGCATAAAAAAGCAACAATAAAGAAGGAATTGCATATAAGGCTCCCTCTCCCTACTGTGTGGACGAGTAGTGATGAATGTAACCCAATTTTCAAAGAAAAACTACTCTTTCAAATTCATATCAGTAGACATTGGTAGAATTGCTCTAATTATGTTTAACCTGCCTGTCCCAAACAAGGCTTTTCATTTTTAACAAAGACCTTTTATTTTATTTTCCTTTTCTGTTTGTTTCCTGCTCCCAAATAGGGTGGGGGGAGCAGAATATCCATATTCCCATTAATACTGGGTAATTTTACTGGGCTTTCTTATTTAAACATCAATACCCCCTTTTTTTTCTCTGCCCCTCTCTCTCTCTCTGCCCCTCTCTCTCTCTCTCTCTCTGCCCCTCTCTCTCTCTCTCTGCCCTCTCTCTCTCTCTCTCTCTGCCCTCTCTCTCTCTGCCCCCTCTCTCTCTCTCTCCCTCTCCCCTCTCTCTCTCTCTCTCTCCCTCTCTCTCTCCCTCTGCCCCCCTCTGCCCCCTCTTCTCTCTCTCTCAGGAAAAAAAAAGTGGAAACTTTTCTTGTGGCTCGATTCGTCTTTTACAACTTCATCAGACTAAATTTCTTATTTTCTTAAAGGATGGAATGTGCCACAAGAAAATTTGTCTAATTTTTCATACATTTTTCCCAATATTATCCTTGATATATATAAAAAAAAAATATACTCTCTCATAATGTGTCAAGCAGCAAATGTGATACATATTACCTGTTTGTTTGTTCGAATACAATCGACAACTTTTCAACTTTTGAAAGTTCTTTCAGCAGATGTTTTTTTGATAGCTATAATCTCCAACTATTCAAATGTAATATCAATCTATATCTCAGATGCCTTGAACTATCCCCTCTCCCCTCTCCTTCTCTTCATCCTTTCCTCTATCACTCCTATTTCCTCACACTTCAACTCTCTGTAACCCCTTACATGCTAGTTTGCATGGGGTGAAATGCTTAATAAAAAAAAAAAAAAATTTGAAAAGTTGTGAGACTTAATACTATTTCTTATAACCTATATTTATTATGCATGGACATGAGACAGATATGTGCGCCATTAAACATTGACTCAATTAGTTCTCTTCTTTCTCTCTTAATTTTAAAACTTAAAATTAAATGTGCTGTCACACCTGATACTTTGATATTTAAACTTAAGTGGTACATCTTTCTCTCACTATTGCAACTGCTAACGTTTTCTGATTTCAAATAAGATTTGAAGTCTTATTAGGTAAATTCTCTTACCACTGACCATGTGCTTTCAATGGTGTTATTTAAGTGTGTGACGGCGTCCTGACATTTTGGTGATTAAAACTTTTTAATAAAATTCTCTGCTGGATTCACTCAAACACAATGGCTTGGCCACTCGTATCCAAGGATACCTGTCTACTTGGGCGACTAGATAATCCCTATTGTAGACACTTGCTCAGGTGAATTTTGCTTTTTTTCTTCCAAAGCCATTTTTCATTGCAATGCAATTTTCTTTATTTTGAGAATATTGAATATTGGCTGATTTAAAGTATAATTAATCTGATTTTACTTAGTTTAAAATAGTACAGAAGTTTGTTTTTTTTTTTTTTTTTTTTTTTTTTAGAGTAGTGATTTTTATACCAATATCAGCCTTTCTTATGTCAAGTGTTGAAATGTTTATTGTTCTTCAGTCTTTATAACAAGCGAACACTTTATTTTTATTTTTTATAAAACAGAATTTTGAAAAATAATGTCTCATTTGTGAAATCTTTCTTGAAGCTCTTATTTTACTCTTAATTTCAAGCTAATACATTAAACTTAATTTCTAATAAGCAAAAGAATTCACTGTATTTCAAAAACTTTTAAATTGACTGAATGTTTTTAACTTTCCATACTGATAGCTGTTACATTCTCATCCTGTCCTCAGTCTTATAAAATTGCAAGACTGAAAATTTTTAAGTTCAATTTTTTTACTCTTTTCACAGAAATCCAACTGGGTGATGTCCTTATTGAGGGTAAAACAAAGATTGTATATGACTTGCCTGAATATAAAGGATGTGTGTCTATAAAATCTAAGGACAGGATCACTGCTGGTGATGGTGCACGAGCCCATGACATGGAAGGCAAAGCTGTCATCTCCAATGAAACAAATGCCCAACTCATGCAAATTCTGAATGATGCAGGTAACTTTTCATCAATTTTTAATATTTATCAAATGCCTTTCAATTAGGTAAGGGGGTAGTTACACTGATCTTGAAGATTAGTGCTTAACTTAAATTGGCATTCAAAAGTATGTCTCCTGCATGTCAATTACTTAATTCTTTTGCCATTTAAGTCTTTCTTTCTTTCTTTCTTTCTTTGACAAAACTTTTTCATTTTTTTTATCTTCCAAGGCATTGCTACACATTTCATTGGGAAATGGTCCAATGATACTTTCCATGCTCTCCATTGTCATATGATCCCAATTGAATGGGTAATCAGAAGAGTGGCTACTGGATCCTTTCTCAGGAGACATCCCGGGATTGAAGAAGGACATCGTTTTGCTCCTCTCAAACTGGAAACCTTCTTCAAGGTAATTAATTCAGGGCTGAGTAAGCATAGACCTTTTTTTAAAATGTCACTTGGTATATTTAATCATGCTTACCAAAACCCAGTGTTTTTTGTTTGGCTTTTTTGCCGGGGGGGGGGTCTCCGTTTTACAAAGATTTAAAAAAAAAAAAAAATTCAATTGCTTGCAAATTACTGCTCCCATTTGTTTTTGTTTGTTGGTTTGGTTTTGTTTGTTGTCTGATGCATTTCATCCTTTGGGATTTCAAGTAATGTTTAGGTTGATGCAAGTACATATGTGCACAAGACACTGAGAAATTTAGATTTGACAAATTTAAAAAATTATTTTTAATGTTTTGGGTATATGATTTTCTTTTAGATTTTTTATTTCAATTATGTTTGTTAAATATCCTACCTTGTAAAAATACATCTGCCTATAATATTGAAACCTTATAAGAACCTGGGTGCAAATTTACTGTGGATGAACTAGCAATTAAAGCACTTTCTAAATTTTTTTAGTATAATCTAAACTCTATGTAAAATTTGTCATAACTGTCTAAAACGAAAGACTTAATACAAAAACTAAAACTTGGAATTTTACTCTTACCTGTAATGAATGCAACAAAAAATACATTGGAAAAAAATCTCATTTGTTGCTCACTGTAAAGACTGACTACAATTTGAATTTAAAAAGTACTACTCCCATTCAGAGAGAAAACTATTCACTAAGTTGAAAATGTTTAGAAAGTGTTTTAATCATTAGATCATCCACAGTAAATTTGTCAAGTTTCTTGCAATGTTTTAGCATTCTTGCCTGACCTATTATCACAATATGGGAGATAACAAAAGTGATGAAAAGAAAGAAGAAAAAAAAATAATTGGCTAAATTATATACACAAAACAATTTTTCTTAAATTTAAAATTCCTAGCATCTCTCATATGTTGATGTCAATGAAGTCCTAAAGGATGAAATGCATCACATAAAATTCCCTACACATACACACATATATACTTTTGGATTTCCTCATTTTGTTTGTCTCCCTATTTGTAAAAAGGGATGTTATAGTTGGATAATCAAAATCTGGAAAAATTTTAAGATTTTTCTTGATAAAGTTTATTAATAAATCCCAAATATTAGATTTGTATTTTTTTTTTTTTTTTTTTTTTTTTATTATTATTATTATTATTATTATTATTATCCCCCCCCTTCTTCTTCAATTGGCAGCAAAACTATTAAATCTTATTTATTAGATTAATTAATGTGGACTAACTATAATGAAAATTATTTCATAAGACTTTTTTCCCTTTCCATCTCTGTAGGATGATGCCAACCATGATCCCCAATGGAGTCGTGAGCAGCTAATTTCAGCCAAGCTTAAGTGTGGGAATGTTGTAATTGGTGTTGATGAAGTGGATATTATTGAAAAGATGACTCTCCTCATTTTTGAAATATTGGAGAAAGCCTGGGCTGGAGCTAACTGGGCTCTCATTGATATGAAAATTGAATTTGGTGTCACTGCAGAAAGCGGTTAGTTCCATGTTTTTTTTGTCTTATTTTTTTTTCCTTCTTCCATTGATTGTCTACCTGAACAATAAAAAAAAAAAAAAATTACTCAGTGAGAAGAGCAAACTACAATTTTCATTGTATGTAACCTGGGCTTCTGAGATTGTTTGCCTTTGTCATGTTGGCCGTCTCCTGTATACATGCCAGTCATGGACTCTAAGAGCAGGTCTCTGAACTGTAGTGATGAGATTTCAGATATCAGCTTGGTATTTCCTACACAGGTCATGTCACAAAATGAAGTGGTGTGCAGAAGAGTAATTGCATCAATGGCCATAAAGATGTGTTGACTATCATAAGGAAGCTGAAATGACCCTGTAACAAAATCACAAGTACTCTCCATGACCACCCTACAAGAAGTGAAAGAAGGGTATGCCAAAGAAAGATGAACAAAGTTGTCAAATGAACTGAATGTTTTATCTAGGTGTGAGCCAATGACCAGGTCAAGTGAGGGGTGACTTGAGCAAGCTACCATGTAGGTAACTATAACTCTGGGTTATGATTTTTCTAAGCATAGCTAAGATGTGGGACTAGGCTGAAAGTATCCTAACTCCTAGTTAGGATCTAACTACTCAGTCCAAAGGTGGAGCTCCATCTTGAATCCAAACCCAACCCTATATTTCTGTCTGAATTGAGTATTGATAACTCAATCTCAATGCCAGGCTACTATCTCCTAATAGTCAAACATGACCACCTAAATTGCCATAAGCTTGCTGCCTACATTGAAGATGGGTTTCCCTGTGGTAAGGACACAAACTAGGACCCTGATCTCCTGTATATGTGCTTCCGCATTGTACTTACCCATAGTACCATATTCATTTTTACTCTATTGTCTTCAGGGTAATGGGATGCTTATTTTCAAGCCTGAGAGGGTTGATAGTATCTTCACTGAATTTCCCTCGGCTCGCTTTCATATCTGATGACTTCAATATTCACTACAAAAAAAATGGTTAGTCAGCTCAAACAAAATTGAAGGAGGCAGATATTGCAGAGACTTCTATGCTAGCTCAGATCATCAAAAGGCCCACCCATGTCCCTGATGCAACAGGAAATCGAGCAAACCTGCTTAATCTCTAACTCACATCCTGCCCTGAATATTGCTTATAGAAATTCTCCCTCTCCCAATATCACCTCTCCTGGGAGGACACCTCAGACCATTCTGTATTCAGTCTCCATATTGTAGCCAAACCAAAGGCATTCCTTGATTTGCCGTTCCATAAAATTTTTTTTCAGTACACTACGCCAGGCTGGGACAACTTTAGATTTTATATAGTGGAAGCTCCTCTCTCTCGGACTTCAAAACAGTTGCCTCCAAAACTGCTGCCCTCCGCTCAGCATGAACCCTTTGTGGAATAGTTTTATATACAAAGAAAAAATATCTGGTAAAAACCAAACAGCCAGTTCTGCTTTGCCCCTGAATGCACTGCAGCCATAGCTCACTATAACCACTACGATATTTATCACAAGGAGTGGTGTAGTTCAACTCTTACTGCATTCAAAACTGCTTACAATCGCTGCAGGAAAGTTCTGGAAAATGCACAAGTGGTCCAGGCCAAGGTTGAAAAACTGGATCCAGAAAGTGATTCAAACATAAAAATTTCCTTAGTTCACAAATTTTAATAATTCAGTAAATGTTTATAAATTATGAATAAAAATATTTTCAGTTTCTTTGTAAATTCTCAAAAATGTATAAATTTACTTTCATTATTCATTATTACAATTGTAAACATTGTTTATATATATATATATATATATATATATATATATATATATATATATATATATATATATATATATATATATATATACACACAATAAACTGCTGGAATTTTTATATAAGGAGAAAATAGTTTGGTTTATTTTGTTTTATGGCATGTCAACCTCAGTGTGTTATTTAATACTGACAAGATTTTTAGGATACATTCTATTCTTATGAACTGTATGAATAGAATATGTATTTGTAAGAGATCAGTTTTTAGATCACCTTTTAATTGATGTATTTTTGTAAAAAGGGTTTTTTTTTTTTTTTTTGTCAAGTTTTTTTTTATTATTATTATTATAATAATTATTATTATTATACTGTTTGGGACCCTATGTGCTACCACCATGTGTCGGGGTGGACCTGGGAACAACAATTAAGAGGTGATTCCATGCTCCTCAAAACCTCCTGATCAGACCTTGCTGCCAGATTTAGTTTACTGTCATACCAAGGACAAAAAAAGTTTCAACTCTCATTTATTAATTTGCCGTATGTTTGCATGATTCTCAACTAATCCTACTTCCACCTCGGATTTTTCCAGCACTCTCACTTATTAGTTTTTTGTAAAGCTTTCCACCTCCCTTTATTCAAAGAGATGCAGTGACCATGTCTAATGTCACTAATCTTTACTGATCTTCAAAGACTTTCAGTTTAACTCTACCATAATCTTAACTTTCTGTTTCCTTTTTCCTCAACAGGTGAAATTGTGTTGGCAGATATTATTGACAGCGATTCTTGGCGGTTGTGGCCATCAGGTGATAAACGTCTTATGGTTGACAAACAGGTCTATCGTGACATGGCAGATGTCACTCAGGCAGGAATTGAAACTGTCAAAAAGAACTTTCAGATGGTTGCTGAAAAAGTGAAGGTTCGTTGGTTGCTTTTTTTTTAACCACTGATTGATGCCAATATTTTTACTAATACAGTACCCATAAAAATAATAGGATTTATTTCTACATGGAGCAGCTCAAGGATCAGTATATCTGCAATTTAGTCTTTTTTTTTTTTTTTTTTTTTTTTTTTTTTTTTTTTGGGCTAGATGTGGCACAAGGACAAAATCTCTACTCAGTCAGAGCCTGCTAACCATTACACCATGTCAAGGTGCCCAGATACAATTTACAAACAGAAAATATAATAAACATTGTTAATGGCTGAAGATTTTAACCAGAAATTGACAAAAAATAATTTTGTTTATTAAAACAAATAAGGTTTAGATATAATATTAAAAAAAAAAATTCATATTTCATTTAATGTTGTAAATGTAAACTCTAATTTTAAGTAATATTTGAGCAATTCATAAATGGTGCTTAGTTGCAATATGACCAAGATAAAAGCTAATCAAAGTATCCTTAATGCAGGAAACTTGAGTAATTAACTTCTGTGCCTCATCTTTTACCAGAGACCCTTCCTCTTCCCTGTCTGAGCACCATTTTTTTTTTTTTTTTTTTTTTTTTTCCCTCTTGGAAAGTGCTCAAAGTTCTGTATACAAGGTAACAGGAATTGTTATGGCCAAGAAGGCCTGCAAGTTCAAATTGTTCTAGGCAGCACACTTTTTCTTAATAAGATTTCTCAAATATTCTTGGTGGTAGATGTTAATAAATATATTGTTTTAATATAAAAAAAAAAGATAAAAATTAAATAAAAAAAAAAAAAAGCATCTACTCGAATGTGTATCCACTAAAAATAACATTTTAAGCGAAAAAAAAGAAAGTCATTACTTGTATATATCTCTGTGGTAAGAAAAGTTTTCTCTTTGAAAAGAATTAGTTTTCTTTGTGCCAACAGTCAGAAAATTCAAATCTAGATCCAGTTGACTTTTGTAGGCTTTGAGATATGGTAATTGTTTACACTTACCTACCAGTCTCTACAACCTTTCTTACCCCCCAGTAAAAAAGAAAAATCTTTTTTTAAAATGCGACTTTGGACCACGGGATTTCTTAGCTCATTGTGGGTGAAGTTGTGCATTACAAGTTATGATGTGGATTTATCACACTTTTGATTTCTGTTCCCAGCATTTTCTGATGTTGGACTAATTTTTGACCCTTGGGAATACAAATTCAATCTTATGAATTAAAACTCGGCTCTCTGATTGACAATTTCCTGCAAATTCAAGCTTAGAGATTGTACAGGAACCAGTGTTCCAACACGATGTAGCTGTAGTCCCTTGGAAAAGAATTGATGTTCTTTGTATGATCTGTTGAAAAAGAAAATCTTGATAAAGATCAGATTGATTTTAGTAGGCCTCAAGATGTGGCAATTATTCATACTTCCCTACCAATCTTGACCAATCACAACCTTTCTTTCTTTCCTCCTCAATAAAAGAATTCTACTTTGGGCCACAGGATATTTTTCTAGGTGGTGAGGTTGTTGTTTCTGTTTTTTTTGTTTTCCCTCCTCCACACTTTAACACTGTCAAAAATCCTGATTCTTTATTTAGAAAAAGTAATTCTTTAGAGTCTGGTATTATGGATATAGCAGATTTAAAATGAAATTAATTCTCTCGGCAATTATATACCAGGTGATTTCCTTATCAACACTCAGAAATCTGTTTGGCTAAAACAGTGTAGATATTAACAGCATTTATTTCCAATAGTTTTAATTCAAAACTACTCACTTTAGTTTGTAATAGTGCATGTGTTATGTTAGCGAACACTTTATTTTATTTTTTTTTTTTAAGCTCCATAAAAGGGGTATACTCAATTTAATGCATTAATTGCCACTGAAATCTGGTTATACATTAACTATTTAATTCCCATCTTCCAAAAAAAATGGGACTTTGGGCATTAACAGGTTAAGTTGAAAAACCTCAAATGAAAGTATTCCTTAGGGATAATCAATGATGTGGAGTTAACATAGGCACGAGATAATGATTTGAAAATTGCTTGTGCCAACTTCTTTAGTGTCTTTGTTTACTTGTACCCACTTCTTCTTTAGTGCCTGTCTCTGTCTGTTTACTTGTGCCTGTCTCTGTTTACTTGTACCCACTTCTTCTTTAGTGCCTGTCTCTGTTTACTTGTACCCACTTCTTCTTTAGTGCCTGTCTCTGTTTACTTGTACCCACTTCTTCTTTAGTGCCTGTCTCTGTTTACTTGTACCCACTTCTTCTTTAGTGTCTGTCTCTGTTTACTTGTACCCACTTCTTCTTTAGTGCATTCTCTTTTACTTATTCTTCTTTAGTGCCTGTATTAATGTTTGTTCTTTTACTTTTCTTTTTCAGTTAGTGCCTGTCTCTGTTTACTTGTACCCATGTCAAGTTTAGTGTCTGTCTCTGTTCTTTTAAAACATTCTTTTTCTTATCTCTTGTCAAAAATGTTTGTTTATTTTTTTTTCATAATTGCTGGTTGTAATGTCAAGTGATTGTTGTCATGGGTTCTGGAACCGATGTTGCACATTGTCAAAAAATTAAAGATGCTTTGGATAAGTGGTCAATTCATTGCGAACTGAGGGTTGTTTCAGCACATAAATGCACCAATCTCTCGCTCTCTCTGTTGGCTGAATATGAAGGTAAGGAGACAAACTCTATCTGGAGTAAATTTTTGCTAGCATTCAGAAAACTTGTTTATACTTGATCAGTGCAAAATCCTATTAGTTGTGCTTGTCCCCCTCTTTGGTTTGCACGACCATTACACCCTGCCAATACCTCATAATGGACTATTCCATTTTGATCTCTTTGAAATTGGGGAAGGGTGCTACCCAGTTTCAGTGAGAAAACAATTGAATGAAAGAAGGGAGAAAAGAGGTGTTTTACTTTTCATTTTTACCCACTTAAAATAATGACCAGCATTCATAATTTTATTATTGCAATATTTTCTTGAAGTATTTAATGATGTGATAGGGGAAGCTCTACAAATATTTTTCCTTAGAACCAGCCATGAGTTTGCTCAATCATTAACTTAACATTCATCAGAATATTAAAATAGAAAAACCATGAAATTTTTGCAGATTAAAACTAGTAAACATTTAACCCATCAATAAGGTAAGGCAATATTTACAAACACCTAATTATATGGCTGAAAGATTCAAAGAGAAACAGTAGTGATAATGACTTTTGAAACTAGTTACTGGGCTACAGCAAGGTGTTACAGAATGGATGGAGATTGGCTGGAGTGTCTCAAGGGAGTGGCCTTCTGACAAGAATTGCTTTTGTCTGGGTTTTGGGTATCCACCAGAATTATGAAGCATTGATACCTCCCAACTATGCTGAGCATGCCATAATTACAGTCTTTGGGAGAGTGAATGATCTGGCATGATCCACAATCTGAACAAGACAAGTATTCTCAAACCCTTGGTTATGAAGACTTGTAACTTTGTCGTAGCACAATCATTGATGACTCTCAAATATTTATAACTACCCAATTTCACTTGAACATAACATGGACTTCAGGCCCCTTCCAAAGATTTCACATACTGGGATCACCTCCCACAGACCAATAATATCAAGATGTTACCTTCCTGATAAATCAACCCTGATGAGATTTGAACCTGGGTCTTGTCATCAGAAAGTGAACATTCTAACCACTCTGTCACATGCCCATCTTGTTCTGTGAATTTATCAGATGACGAGACTACTTTTTTGATGCCTCACATATTTGGCCTTGTGCCAAAGTTAAACTTTGTATAAAATCATTTACATGGCCTTCTTGGAAAGTGACTTATTTTTCACTCCTGCTGACGCAACATCACAAGCCTACCCAATTACAATTTATAGGACAAATGTTCAAATGAGCTCCATTCTTTAGTTCCACCAGTTCAGACCTTTACACTATCTTATAAGGGAAGACGTATTCTCCTGTCTGTAGCCTCTTTGCCAAAGAAGCAACATTGCAAGCCATTTGCTACTTTTATTTCCATGTCAAATGTTCAGATGAGCTCCATTCTTTAGTTTCACACGTTCAGACCTTGACTACTAAATCATGTCAAGGTATTTCAGTCAAATCTGCTTCATTTCTTTCATATTACATCCACTCCCTTATATAATAATGCCTTTTTATAAAAATTTGTCTGCAAAATAAACACAAAATAAGAACGAATTTTAAAACTACCTGATTTGGCACAAAATGACGGTTGGTGTGCCAGTAAAATAACCCATCTAAATCCTCCATATTCCAACCGTAAGGAGAAAGTTCCACTAAAGTGGTACTTCCTATTACTTTGGGTGGATGCTTTTCTGAACACTAATCTTAACCTCTTCAAGTCGAGGGTCAATTTTTATTTATCCTCTTGATTTTTATTTCCTACCACCACTTAAAACATTTAGCTTATGGCCATATATTGAAACACTGGTGAGTTCGATCCTCACTGGGTGCCCCATACTTTCGGCCTTGTGCCACATCTAAGCCGGTCTTGGAAAATCATATTGAAACACTGGTGATTGCACAATGTCTAGTTTGGTCACTAGCTAAATGGGTAAACACTTGGACATACAAAGTTCCTGCAAGCTTGGATGTTTGAGTGGTGTAATGACTAATGGCTTGGAATTATTACTCAGAAAACCAAGTTACAATTTCAGTTGTTTTTTTTTTTTTGTTTTTTTTTTGTTATATTCACTTATACGCAAATACCGTTGGAAAAGGTATTAATCCACCTCTTCTTCCCCCAGCTATGGACTAATTAGTAAGGTTTGTATCACTAAAACCATTATCTCCCGGGGGTGGGGGGTACAATCTGAAAATTACTTTATGGTTTTAAATAACCTGTAAAGAGTTGATGAACCATAGAATAAGCCATCAATGAAATACTGATTAGCTCCACAGGCATGTCTTTTAGATTTATTTACATTCTCTGAAATATAAATGTATAGAAACTACCATGACCACAAAGTGAGAGATCAGTCTGTATATTGATTCTAATGCAAAATTGATCCCCCTCTTTATATCCACATTATAATTTCAGTTTAAATAACGTGCAAAAGATTGATTTGTTTTCTATGACTTGTTAATCGATGAAATACTCATTAGCTACGCAGGCATGTCTTAGATTCCAGTGAATGTAAATAATAAACCTAAGTGTATAGAAACATTGGCTACCAACTGAAGAATTTGTTGGTATATTGATTGTAATATAGAATTGGTCCCCCACTTTATATCCATATAATTTCTTTAAAATTCTAAGCTATGAATCTACTGCTTCTCTCCCCGCTCCCTCAGTTATGGGTTAATTAGTAAAATTTGTATCGATGAAACCATTATCTACAAAGAGCAAAAAAAAAAAAAAAATTTTTAATTTTAAAAATATTTTCTGGCTTTAAATAAGCTGCAAGGTGTTAAGCTGTAGAAAACCAATCAATCAATACAACATTTGTATCACTCACCTTGTTCAATAACTAATTCTAGTGGCTTCCAGGTGTTCTGTTGCATGAGCTTTTTTCTTTTTATAGCTCTAATGCTTGATTTTAGAGATGATTAGGTAGAGTATTGGACCCCCCTCCTCCCACACACCCAAAAAATTGTTGGAACCACTACTCTAATACTTCTGATTTTTTTTTTTTTTTTTTTTTTTTTTTTTTTTTTTTTTTTTTTTTGCAGCTATAGGAATTCCTACAGTGTTCATTGCAGTTGCTGGACGTAGCAATGGTCTTGGGCCTGTCATGGCTGGCAACACCACTTGTCCAGTTATTAACTGTCCACCTTTGAGCTCCAGCTGGGAACAAGAGGATCTCTGGTCCTCCCTGAGAATGCCTTCCGGTATGTGCCCGCACTTTTTTCTTTTGCAATCAATTCATGGAGTAGGATAATTTGCTTGTCATTGTTATATATTGCAATAATTTCCATTCACCCAGTGGTGATGTTGATTCTTTTTATTATAAAATTATTAATCCTTTGACAAGGTTACTGGAAGTTTTAATATATCATTGGATTATTGTTCCATAAAAATAAGGTTAAAATTTGTTTTGATTCTTTTTAGTCTGAGGATCATTCTCAATTTCAAAAATGAGATTGTATGGTTTTAATATTTTTAGGCCACTAAGTTCTGGATCTTTGACTTGGATCATTTAATGTACTTTACTGAACTCTAACATGGGAATATTCCATATACTGTATATACTCACATATCAAGTGACTTTGAAGCTAATTTTAAGCGAATTGCATTGTATGTACTGCTGGCCCTGGCTATGTTTTTGACAAAACTATATATCCATTTACTGTAATCAAATTAGGTCTTCAAAGGTTGCATGATATGCAAGTATATATGGTAATTCTGAATTAGACTTAAAATTTGTTAGCCTGTTCTATCAAAAGTACAGACTGGTGCACATTCTATTTAAATAGTAAATGGAAAGATATCAGATGACCAGAACTACTTAAATTTGTCAAATATAAAATTATCCAATGCAACCTGTTCTTAAAAAAAAAAAAAAAAAAAAAAAAAAGCTATAAATTAAAATCTGTAGTTAGGAAATTGTACCAGGACATTTGTTTGTTCCAGCTTTTACAGTGCTGAAAATGGAATCATTTCAAAATGTTGTCTAGTGATTAAATGGAAAAAGCGAGTGTTGAATACTTGTCTTGTTTTAATTGTTGTGAATGTTACTTTGAACAGATTCTATTTCTCGTGCTCTTAAAATTAAAATGCCAGGATGTAACAAAATCTTGTCTTCCACTTTGACAACACTGTTTTTGATAATGATGGAGGCAATCAAAACTACTTGAAGAAAATTGGAAAAACAGTTAATGATTGGATGAAAGAAATTATAAATTTTACAAAACTTGTTTGCATGAATTCTTTACTGCTTCAATACTTTTTTTTTTTTTTCCCCCTTCACATGATTAAAACTTATTTACTTTGCTGTAGGACTTGGATGTTCAACTATTATCAATCCGGAAATGGCAGCTCTGAATGCTGCTCAAATCCTGGCTCTGTCTAACGCCAAACTCTGGTGTAAGCTTCGTGTGGCACAGTTCAAGTATTGGCTCAACTGCAAGACATCAGACATGAAGCTCAGAGCCAAGTGAATGTTGCCAATCTTCACTAATAATCAAGATTCAAATGTAATTCTATGACCGTATTGCTAAATAAAGTCTGTACCAAGATATTTAAGTGACTTGTTGAATTCTTTACTTGTGTGCAGGTTTCTTTTTTTTTTTTTTTTTTTCCCCATTTAATTTATATGGGTACACAACAAACATATGACACAAGGTTTAAAAGCAGACAATAAATTTATTAACACACAAAAATGAATGAATTACACAAATTAAGCGCATTGTGCCAAATAATATCCAATAACATGCAAAAATTATCAATGAAAATGAAAACTGCCTTACAAAAAAAATTAAAATGCTGCAGAACATCCTCAGGAAACGAAATGAAGAAAAGGAAAAAAAAACTTCTGAAAAGAAATGACAATTTTTGAAGCAATATTAGTAACTCAAACAAGCACTCTAGCCAAACGCTTTTCCTTGATGCAGGGTGGAGGACTGAGGTTACTTTAAATTCTCATCTGGTGGTCATCAGATTTCTTCATTGTTTGTTTGTTTGGATCAGGGGCACCTGGGTTCCTGCAGCAGCTGTTTAGCTCCATGCCCCATCTCCCACCCCCAAATGATTTACTGGTAGGTTCCAATTACACCTGGAGAGGAAACCCTTTTGTTGGTCTTTAGATGGAGAGAAAAAAAAGACACTACCATTTTTCTCACAAATTGAAATGTACCAAATGTTTGAAATTCAAAAATTAAGCAAGAGCCCAACACAGCATGTTTTCTCTCTGAAAAACCAGATACATTCAAGCAGCTTAAATTTGTTAATTTGAATATGTATTTTTAACATCTTTCTGCTGTAACAATGACTTCTCACATTAAGAGATAAGTAGATTGATTCCTTTTCTTTTGAATCAATTCAAGTACCCAAAGCTTTCAGGAAACTTGTCTTCAATCTCTTGAGTCCACAAATTGGTGTGTTTTGGGACTTTTGTCTCCAACTGCCTTGTGAAGTGGTAAACAAAATGCTAATGATTTTTAGATAATCATAAATGTAGTCATTTGAAGAAGTTGACCACCCAAAAAGCTGAATGGGTAGAAGAACCCCCCCTTTCAGATATCCATATAAGCAGGAAGAAGAGGGTCCAGCTGTAAGTTGGCCAGCTACTCATTAGTCACTTACCTGAGTGAAATTGACCAGTAAGCAATTAGGGAGATAAACATCTGTTTTCCTTTGGCTGTCCCAACCAGAAAATCTTAAATCAATTGTTATTCCCTGTTGAATTCAATTATGGCCAATTAAACAAACCTGTGCACATAGCTAGTCAGGTGTATATGCAGACGCAGCTGACATTGGATGTTGTGACACCATTTAGTCAAATTTTAACGTTGCTGTATGAAATTTTTTTTTTTTTTAATTTTATAATTATTAAATGGGCAAATATTTTTTTTTGAAACTTTTTTTGGAAATATATATATATATATATATATATATATTCACTCATTGATGTAATCAATGGAAATTCTGGTGTCAAGACTCAAAGGGTTCAGTTCAACATTTCAACCACCTGTACAACGGCCAAAACATAAATATGGCAACAAAGATGAGAACAATAGTCCAAATAAAGTAAATATATTCCATCATGAAAAATACTGTGGCCCTGGTTATATAAAAACTGCATCAGTTCCAGGTTGTGAAATAAGAACCTACAAGCTGAATACATTTGTAATAATTATATCAGTGGTTTCATTGACTGATCAGAATGCCTATGTCACTACCGAATGTAACACAACTTTGTGGGTTTAATGGCAATACCATGGAAAAATTGCCCAACCTTCCTTAGCACTTCCCCTTCTGTGGACATCTCGGGTGCAAGGCAATAAATCCAGTACACACCTCACAAAGGAGAGGTACTTCCTGGGTGTGGTCTTAAAATTTTTTAAAAAATTTTCCAGTTTGGAATATCAACATCTTGACTATATCGTTATTTTCTCTAAAAGTTACACGTGCTATCCATTTTAGTTGTTCCTGCTGCTGAAAGTCTTCAAATAACATGGTTTTTGTTATTTGGTACAGTTCTTTGTGGATTGCTGCTACAGAGTCACAATGTTCAAAGAAGGTTGATCTTTGCCAAGACCCTCAGGCTTCACTCGCTTAATGCCTGTTTTAATCATTGATATTACAAAGTAGTTGTAAACAGCTGGCAGTTTAGATATTTCTGAACATTTTTACTGTTGTGCATGACATACATATGAAAATCTCGATCTGGTGAGGCTATTTAAGAACATTACTCAAGTTTAGGGTTGATGTTTTCAGAAGATAGAGAGTAAGTTTGTTGACCCAAAGGAAGCCACATTCCCAATTATCATGCAGAAACTGTTTTTAATCAACAAGATGATAAGTCTTCATGTTCTACGCTCATCATTTCTGCTGCTGTATACATACATCTTTTTGAAACTTATATTCCTGCTGTTTATCTATATATATATATATATATATATATATATATATATATATATATGAAGAAAAATATATACTGAAAAAACAAACAAAAAACCTAATATGCGATTATGCTGTTTTAATGTCAACGTCGGACGTTTCGGTCTAATAAACCATCTTCAGGACATATTCATAAAAACATAATTAACATAGACTATATACAATTCGACATAAAAGCAATACCAATCCAAACAGATAACTGAAATCTTTTATAAGATCAGCATTCCGTTTAAATATGATCACGTCGTCGTCACATCCGATGTTGACATTAAACATTAAAACAGCATAATCACATATTAGGATTTTTGTTTGTTTTTTTTCAGTATATTTTTCTTCATACTGTCAGATCTATATCCATATATTTGCTTACACACACACACACACACACACACACACACACACACACATATATATATATATATATATATATATATAAGGTTGTGACCTTGTTAGGGCCAGAAATAAAGACACAAGAGAGGAATTAAGTTAAACAAATATATTAACAGAAACAGTAATACAAACAAGTGTTACAGCAAGAATGTTCGGTCTCCAAAAGGCAGTACCTGTTCCTACTTTAGCTGGGAGATGCCATGCGTGCGTGGATAAATTACCATAACTATATATAATATATATATATATATATATATATATATAGTTAACATCGATTTATCTACAATTTATAAGGACCCTTAAGAAAAATTCTGGTCGAAAACACTAAAATTCTATGTAAACCACGTTGCCAGAAACATCTCGCTATAAGAGAAGCCCTGTATATTAAACATCCCTCTTCTACTATCAACCTCACCTTATTTAACAGTGAAAATGGTGTGTTCAAAGTTTTTAAAACAATAGAAAGACGCTTACTTGAATTCCAGCCACGATCCATATGGGAAGGCTTGGAATAAATGCTCCTATTAGTATTCAAAACAACAAAAAATACATCTTAAACAGTCAAAACATGAAGAGAAATTAACAACACCCCCCCCAAAAAAAAAACATAAAAATGGCTAAAGAAGTAACTGAAAGCACTTGGGACAATGAACAATATGGACAATTTTTGCACTCCCTTACTTCCAGCAAACACAAAAATATAAGAACTCTGGGAAAACTAAAAAAAAAAATGAGATTTCCCTTGTCTGTCATATTTAACAAAAGATGTTTAAAAGAAAGGTTGCTGTGTGTGTATATATATATATTAAGGAGCCAGGTAAACCTACCTAGGTTTCACCTAAACAGATCTTCAGGGTTAGTTTTTGCTCTACTTAGTATACTGAGCACTATACGTTTAGTCTTTTACTCGTTTTGGGTTTTTTTTTCTTTGGACTTGGAGCTCAAGCACTTGATGAGAGGATTCGTACAGTTTTATGTTCTTGGTTCTTTCTTTTTTTATTTCCAATTTTTTCCTCGGACATCAATTTGTTATATTACAAGTTGAGTCAACCGAGGTTTTCCAAAACGAGTATTACCATTACCATTCATATATATATATATATATATATATATATATATATATATATGAATGGTAATGGTGAAATTTCTGAGATGAAAAGTTATTATTTATATGCGGACTATTGTCCTCATCTTTGTTGTTGTTATCGTAACGTTTAAGTCATTGTACCCGTTAGCCTTCGTCACATGTCAATCTTGGTAGCCTACAGAGAATTATGAACTGAACCCCTTTATTTAATCTACGGGGGTAGACTGCTTATTCCATTGTCTATGTCTAGGGGTGTCTAATTTCTTTTTTCAGGCACGAAGCTCCAAGTTTTCTGTATTTTCATCTTATATTGCGAGTATCATTCAGCTTAGTCTGTTTTGCAGAATATCTGATCAAAACCAAAATGATGGTACCCCCTGAGAAACTGCCGTTATTGTCTTTATAGTCATTTATTTCCAGTAAATGACAATTTCCTATTTTTTACCAAGACGGGCCAGCACAGCCAGGCAACAATGCTATAACAATGCAGCAGTGAAAGTGTTAAAAATTGTCCAACAGGAATATATCAAAAGAGAAAAGTCAAGTTAGATTTAAGGCTCCAAGTTGTCCACAGAGAATTGTCCCGTGGGACAATAGATTAGGGGATTAAAGTGTTGATTCGTGAATTTGGTGACATAGAAATCGTGAGTTCAATTCCTGGGCAAGGCGGTGTGTACTTGGACTCTGTGGAAACAGCGCATGCAATAACTAAGATATCCTTAGAGAACAGTCTACCCTTGTAGATTAAATAAAGGGTTCATTCCGAAATTCAATTTAAGTTACCTGGATAAGAATACACATAATGAAAGCCAGAGAAAGCAAAGAACGTGATAGCAACAACAAAGATGAGGACAATAGTCTGCATGTAAAGTGTTATGTGTCAGTATTTTCTCAGTTACACATATTTTGCAAAAAAGTATCAGTTTTTTTTTCCTCCACGGTGCCACGTTTCTTTTCAAATTAGAGTGCACTTTAACTGAAAGCTGTCCATGATCAATCTTTCTACTCTATTTGGCTTTATGCAGTACTAAACTAAACTTACTAAAATTTAGTCAGTTCTAA